GGAGGTTTCCAACAGTGATGCTAAAAGGTGTAACCTGGAAATGGAAATCAAATAGAGAGACGAAGGCCCAGGAGAGTCAAGCTTGAGGCTACCCTAACCTATGTGTGGTCTTCCTAGGCCTGCGGGCTCCCAGAGTTAAACAGCCCAGTATTTCAACCCCAGTTCTGCCCATCCCCAACCAGGCGGCTTGCTTGTCTTCCCTGGGTTAGCAAGCATGTCTTGGGGTGCTTGGTTGGTGGGGTTACATGAGGCGGGAATGAAAAGGTCTATTTCCATCCTTCTGTTCAGGCTTTGTAGGGAGAGCCGGGACTCAGTCAGAAGGATGTAGTTAGTAGACAATAGCTTTCACACGAAACCAGGCCTGTGTGAAGAAGACAGGCTGGGTTGTTAGACGTGGAGATAAGGGCTGGGAAGAAAGTGTCTCATTTACCTAAAGGATGAAAAATGTGCTGGGATTCTAGGGAGCGAGGCCAGGTAAGAAGAGGAGAAACTGGCTGTGGGGAAGCCAGGTGCTTGTATACCTTGTGCCTTTGGTACTCAAGGAGATGGGAGAACTTTCTCCCTGTAGAAGCATCCAGCAAATATAGGAAGACAGACAGAGCCATCTTGCCCCATCTTGCCCCTTCAAAGAAACAATGAAGGTAAATGGTGACCATTGTGTTAGTTATTAATTATTGCCTCTCAACCCTAGCCTTTCTCCTTCACAATGAGTGCAATCTGAAGCTTCATCAGTAGGGGGCACTGAAGAGACACTGCAGGAAGCAGGGGACCTTTCCCTTGGTTTCTCTCCTGGTGCCTGGCCTCCAGCAGTGCCCATATAACCACATCAGCAGCTCTCTGTGCCCTCAAGATCCTCACAGTGTCAAGGCCACCTGCAACCCCAGAGCCCCTGACTGGCCTTGGGGACCCCTTGCCTTGACCCTCATGATGTGCAGGTTTCACTACCTCCTGACCACTTTCACCATCAGGGTGCTGACTCTCAGCCTTCTCAGCGTGGTCTTAAACCTCCTACTGTGCGCGGTAGGTAAGCAGCCTTAGCCTCAGCCTGCCTGCACCTGCTGGACTCTTCCCTTCTTGCATGGCTCCTATAAACACACTCCTGCCTGATAGCCCAGTATCCCCAACGACTCCTCAAACTTTCCTCAACAATGTCAAAACCCCAGCCTTGGGGGAGCCCCTATTCCAGGGTTGTTTTCCTTTGAAGTCCCCCTCAGATATAAGGTGCCCTGTGGAGGCATTATTACATTTTGACGGCTATTAGTTTAATAATTCTGAATACTAAATTTCTGCATGTCTTCTGTTTCCAAAAGTAGGTCCAGTGACACAGGTATGGGCAGCTGGGGAGACAGAAAAATCATATGGCCTTGCTGGAGATACACACAAGTATTCCTGACAAAAGGTCAAGCCTGTTTCTGGCCAGCCAAACATGCATGGAGGGTAACATGTTGAATGGATGTAGTCACAAGATCAAGGCCTGAGGGAATGCCATAGAAAACCCACCGGAATTCTCTAGTGAAAGAGGGAAAGAATCTATCTATCTATCTGTCTGTCTGTCTGTCTGTCTATCTGTCTATCTGACGATGGCTTGTTATCCAATTAGAATTGAGGACTTTATTTGAACACTGATACCAACAAATGTTAAAATATTTGAAACAAATGAAATTTGACTGTCTGGGTATTTGTTAATATTAATTACTTTTTAAAAATTTAAGAGCTGATAAGGGAAATACGAGTACTAGGTATTTGTTGACATTATGAAAATTCTCTTTATGTTTATGTGTGATAATAATAGTGGTCCATGGGAATTTTCTTCAAAATAACAATTGTACGAGGTAGAAGCACTTGGGAAATGTATCATCCTTGAAGCTAAGGGGTGAATACATGTGTTCATTAAGACAACTTTTCTTTTTATTTGAGGTAAAGTTTCACTTTATAACCCAGGCTGACTTGGAACTCATGTGGCCCAATCTACCTCAGCCTTCTGAATACAAGGAGCGTATAGGCATGTATCACCATTCTTAGCTTCATTTAAAAAAAATCTACAAACTGATAAGAAATCAGAAAACCTAACTGAAAAATAAACATAGAGGAAAAAGAAACAATTAGTGAGGAAAGTGTACATGCCACCAAAACACGAGAAGGCATCCAGTAAAAACCAGAATGTCCATGGAAACGTGGATGCTGGCACTGGTACTATCGCATTGATAATCTGGAAAAAATTTTCAAGATGTAGAGCAGGCATTACCATAAACCCAACTATTTGATTTCAGATATGTGTCTTGGGAAAATTATCAAATACATCAGCTAAAATATGTGTTTTTTTCAAGCAATTTTTATAAAAAGCAACACACTAGAAGCAAAGTGAACATCTTCCAATGGAGGAGGAGCAAAGAAAAAGAAGTAAAGGGCTGGAGAGATGGCTCAGAGGTTAAGAGCATTGCCTGCTCTTCCAAAGGTCCTGAGTTCAATTCCCAGCAACCACATGGTGGCTCACAACCATCTGTAATGAGGTCTGGTGCCCTCTTCTGGCCTGCAGGCATACAGGCAGGCAGAATACTGTATGCTTAATAAATATTTTTTTTTTTAAAAGACATTTAAAAAAAGAAAAAGAAAAGTAAACAAAACATGGTGGTCCATGCAGGCTCCTCTGCAACAGCTAAGAGGAAAGAGAGTGTGGGCCGATGTGGCAACGCCTCAGAATGCCTGCCACTCAGCAGAAAAGCATATCACAGAGTAGGTGTGTAGGTGTTGCGTTTGGTCTCAGTTTTGTTAAAAAAAAAATAGATAAATAAATATGACTCAAGAGAAGAAAGTTTATTTCGATTAATAGTTGAAGAGATTTCAACCCATTGCAACAGGGGAGGCACAGGCAGCTCTTCATGTGACTATTAACCAGGAAGCAGAACTCAGAGCTGGAGCCACGAGCAGGTACTAACTTCAAAGGTCTGCCCCTAGTGGCCCACTTAGGCCAGCATCTCCAAGGTCGGCCTCTAGTGGGCCCCTTTAGCCAGCCTCTCCTCAGGACTGTACAGCCTTCGAAAGGACTCCAAAAACTAGGGAATAAGAACTTAAACCGTGAGACTAGGAACGACATTGAGATTTGAACCAAAACAGGCAGAAGAGTAAGCCCAGGAAAACAAGGTCAGATCTCCTGCAAAGCTTCTGGGCAGCCAGGAACGAATGACTGGCAACCACAATCAGGATCAAGAATATGAATTACCCCAGGCTTTGGACTTTGTGGGACAACACATTTTTTTCCCGTTGGGCCTTTCTTGTTCTACATCAGGTAATCATCTCAACCATGGTCACAGTGCTGAAGGACCCTGCTAAATTTGGCCTTATTCCTGTCTTGGCAGGCTGCCACACACAGCCAGGGTGATGGAGGAGTGTTTTTTACAAGTGTCAAACCCTAGGAACATTGTCTTCATCCTGTCTGATAAAGCCCAGAGTCCGAGAAGCATCAGGGAAAAACACAGGTCTTAAGTTCCATCCCAGCTCTAGTGGTTGTGGGATTGGCCTCGTCACCAAAAGCTTTTGCAAATGCCAACTTAATAGTTGCAATTTCCCAGCTCTTATGTTGGGAGAAACCATTTGGGAGTAAAAGTAGTTTTCAGTTTGAATAGCTTTTTTTTTTTTTTTTCAGATTTTCCTCCCTCGGGCAGAGCCAGAAAGAAGAGCAAGGTTCAAGAGGCCAAAAGTCGGACACCAAGAAGGAGCTGGTGGCTATTCCATCAAGGAAAACAAGATTGACCGTGGGCTCCTGCTGGTGGTGGCATGGAGGGCTAAAGTTGAGATGGGGACAAGAGCATTCTGATCCCTGAATGACTCCTGCCACCCTAGGGAGGGAGGGAAAGAGAATGTGGCACACCAAGTTTTTCTTCCCTGGGCACCCAATTATTTTGCTTAGAGTCTTATGGCCATGACTCATGAATTAAATGCAAAATAGAAACATGCACTTGTTAAAATTGCTTTGGAAAAAAATTCAGGATACTGGCAAATTTGGGTTATTAACAAATAAGAGCAGGTAAAGCTTACAGAATTTCTAAACTATGAAGTGAACTAGATATTTTCCCTCTGCAATCAGTTTAAAGGCAGGAAAAAATTATTTTTTTTTAAAAAATCCAACTCTATTGCTGTCACTCAGATTCAACTTTTTGTCTTGTTTGTTTGTTTGTTTGTTTGTTGTTGAGTCAGGGTGTTGTTGTTGTGGTAGTTTGGATATGAATGGTCTTCCCAGATTCATAGATTGAATGCTTGAGCATCAGAGAATGACATCCTAGGCCACTATTATGGGTCTTATTAGAATAGGTGTAGCTTTGTTGGAGGAAGTGTGTCACTGGGGGTGGGCTTTGAGGTCTCACATGCTCAAGCCAGGCCCAGTGTCTCTCTCTTCCTGCTGCCTGCCAATCCAGATATAGAACTCCCAGCTCCTTCTCCAGCACTGTGTCTGCACGCACGAGCCATGCTTCCAGCCAGGCTAATAACCAAACTAAGCCATCCCCAAATAAGTGTTTTCCTTTATTGCAGCAGCTGTGGTCATGGGGCCGTTTCATAGCAACAGAACTCTGACTAGGATGGCTATATAACCCACACTGGCCTTGAACTCCCAGTGATGCTTCTCCCTCTGCCTCCTCAGTGCTGGGATTAGAAGGCGTGTGCCACTATATCTGGTTACAGCTTGAACATTCAGTGTTGTGTTTTTCTTCCTCAATATGAGGAGAACATGATATAAAATATTTTCTTTGATAAGTAATAGATTTTACTTTAACTCTTTCATTTTATTTTATTTTGCTTGCCCTCAGGAAAGCAAATTATAAAGTAGGGCAAATGGAAAACACTAAAAAATCCAAAAATAAAAAAAAAAGTATTTAAATGCAGTTAAGCAACAGCGGAGTAATTGATTGCTCCCTCTGTAATCATTACCTCTGGTTTCAGAAGAACCTGAGGCAAATAAGGTCCCTTTGAATATGGACCAGAAGGTACCGCATGAAAACACAGAACTCCTTTTCTGAGTTTGAATCAATGTGTGGGATTCAGGACTCAGCAAAATGCTGTGTGGAGAAGGAGGGCTGGACTTGGGGAGAAGTGACGGACGCCAGGGTGCCAGCCGCTGGACCGCAAGAGGAGGATCGTTAACCTGGCTCGGTAAGGAAACAGGAGAGGTGCCAGCCTTCCAGGAATCCCCTGCCAGCTGGGGTTCAGTTACGAGCACTGGTTCTCGTTAGTGATTCCCCAAGCCCAGACAGAAGACTCGGTACAGCACAGTTTCTAGAATTCTGTACCAGACTTGGATGTTTGTTTGTTTTTTTTTTTTCACTGAGCTGAGCGAGGACTCCAAGCCTCTCATCTGCCTCTGCCTTGCAGCACCGAGGCCCTGCTCCTTTGCCTTGAAACGGCACGACATTTTTGCTGCATTACCAAGGCCGCTTTAATTTATCACTTTGTTTTAAAGAACTGCACCATCCCCAAAATAGCACAAAATTACTCACTCCGTTGGAGGGTATTGCAGCCTTATATAAGACATGTAATCTTCCACTGAGTGGGCCAGGCTGAGCCCGGGCCTGGCCTTCTGAATTCTAGCAGCCGCCAATGGAAGCTGCTTGGTTTTTCCAAGCAAACTGTAAGTTTTGTTTTTGTTTCGAAATAGATAGTCCAGGCTGGCCTTGAACTCAATAAGTAGCTAAGAATGACCTACTTCTCATCCTTCTGCCTCTACCTCCCCAGTGCTGGAATTACAGGCCTTTGTGGGCACACCCAGTCCTTTGGTTTCTGTGGGTGTCTTTTGTTTTGTTTTAACCACCAGGGCCACTAAAGAATGTCTGACTGGCCAGAGAGAAGCCCTGTAGCTGAGTTCTGCTTCCCTCCCTTGTCTTTTTCACGCTGCCTGTAATAGTACAGAGAGAGCTGGCTTCTTAGCCTTCTTCCTCCCAGCTTTCCTCGATGTCGTGTTAAGAATCTATAAATTTTTTTTTTTTAAATATTGAGTTTTGTATTGAATTTCAGGTTTTAAGTATATAAAGAAGTTTGGGATTTCAATGAAAACCAGAAGACAATTTAAAAAGAGAGTTTAGGATTTTTGTTTTGTTTTATTGTTTTGTTGGTTTTTGTTTTGAGGAGTACAAATCAAGCCTGTTTTCAGAAAGCTGTGCTGGAATTCTCTGGGCTGTGTTTGTCATCTCCCTGCTGCCTTGGCCTTGTGTAGCATCTGCGAGCTTTAGACAGCCTCATGGTGGTCTGCTTAAAAATCATCATAATGGAATATACATGAGGATCAGGCAGGGAGATGCCCGGTCTTATTACATTTCAGTATTCCAGCTTGCTTCCGTGTTTCTCATTACCCCTCCAGCCTCTCTGTGAGAGGAAGAAGTTTTCAGGTCTCCTAAGAAATGCATCCCCTCCCCCAAGGTCAGAGGAACCTAGCCCGGGGTCCGTCATTACCGAAGCCTTCCATGTTTTCTGCTTCTGTTGACTTTTTTAAAAATTCTATTTTAGAGGAGACCTTTGGGAGATTCGTGCCGTGAAATTCTGCTACGGGGGAAGGTCCAGGAGTTAGTGGCTTTATTAAATGCCCCCAATTATACCACCGAATCTGCCATTCTTAGCCCTTGTCCCTTGGGAGCTCAGCGAGCTCTGGATGCTTTGCTTTATTAATTCTCACATTCCATTTGGTGGGGAGGGGAGCAGACAGCCTCAAATCGGGGCTTCTTAGACAGCTTTCATTCACAACCCTTTCCTACCTGGGAAAAATTTTAAGCGACCCTAAATAGACCAGGTATCTAAAATAGGTATGCAAATCAAACACACAATGATGATAAACAATAGCTTTATTTTAAAACAATTCATATATGTACACACACACACACACATATATATATAAAACTTTGCCATTTATTAGAGACGAAAGCAAATTTACATACTAATGAGATGAATGTGCTTGTTTATTTTTACACAAAGAATTTAATCTGAGCTGAACATGTATTTGGTACATCAGGACCCAGCACATCTCCAGCACTTTCCAGAACTGATTAATATTTTAATTTCTTTATCATTAATTCAAAGAATGCCACTACACATAAATATATAGTACAACTTTACAGAAGTGTGCTTTGGGCCATTTCTATTTCAGAAATTCTTGGAAATTCTCTCCTTATCCCAAGCCAAAATTCATTTAGCAATCTTTTAGATGAAATTCAAGTCAGCAACACAAACAACAATTTTAAAAACCAAGCATTCTAACAAAATATAATTCAAAGATGTACTAATTTGATATGCAATCCAAAGATGGACTAATTTGATATGCAATCCAAAGATGGACTAATTTGATATTTAAATGCTGAGAAAGGATGGCAGAAAACATTAGAAGCCTTTGTTTCCTGTAATTAAACCATTGTTTCCACAGGAGCAGACAACTTTGTATCTATAATAAAAAGACCGTAATTCATAGCACACAATGGCCTCAAATCCCAGCTGAGATATTCCAGGCAGGATTGGCTGGCGTTGCATGCTGTGACAGCATGTACGGGGCAATGTGTGAATGCCGTGTGTTCCCAGCCAGCCAAAGCAGCCGCAGTGAACCAAAGCTACAGGGAAGGCTCACAAACACCATGGGCGCTCAGTGTGGCGGAAACACTTGGTTTCGTTACGTGTTTGGTTCTCAATTTACTCTAGGTCCTTGGACATCCAGAAAAGAAAAAAAAAAAAGTTAATCATGTCTTGTGATTCCTATATTCAAATGTACAATGCCGTAGGGATCGCACCCATGGGAGCCAGAGTTTAAAGAGCTGGGTCTAAACGATGCTCCCGCATGGCTGCCGTGTTGCCACGTTGACCCCCAGGTTCTCATTCAGGGATCTTCAGATTAAATAGAAAGGTGGAGTTTTTGCAAGGCTAGAGGGAACCTATCAGGGTTTGGAGGCTCTGGTCGCTAGACAGTGGGCCAAGTAATCTACCGAGGGAAGGAGGAAGGGACGTGGGAACCAGCGAGAGATTTGGGAGCCCGCAGATGAGCATTTGGCCCAGTGCACACCTTGCTCTGAAGCGTGTTCCCTTACCTTCTGCTGACTAATCTCTCTGGCAGCCCTCGCTTTAAAGACCTAATCTGCCTATCACTCTTGGCTCTGCTCCCTGAAGCTGCCGAGAAGAATCTGGGTCAGTGGGAGTTTAGAGTTGCCGGGAGTGGTCAGACCAGGAAGTGAGCAATGGTGACTCCACTGCTTGGCTTGTGGCTACAGTGACCACGGATAGGCGAATACTCTTCACAGAAGTCGTAAAGGCAGAGCTGTCCACAGGCAAAGAACAAACAAGCCTGAACCATTTCTTTCTTCCCTTCTGACACCCATAATCCTTCTGAGAAGTGAGACACCTTCACACACACACACACACACCACACACACACACACACACACACACACACACACACACACACACACGGAGGCACATGCTAATTGGGGGAACTGCTCCCAGGCCCTAATGAGGCCCCCAACTCCTTTTATTCACTCTACTTCAGAAAAAAAAAAAATTTACTGAACCATTCAAGGCTTTTGCACATCTCCTAGGGGTATTGGTCCTGGAAAGCAGCAAAGACTAAACTACTGTTTTGCATGGGAAATTCAGAAGTCAGGTAGGGGAAACCTGCAGATCTCACTGAAGATCTCTCCTCTCCAGATAATGGCTGACTGCACTCAAAGGTTGGAGGAGTGAGAAGTCCTGGGTTTCTGGAGCTCTCACCAGAGACGGAGGTTGAAATACTTCCTCCATGGTTGCCCGCGTGTGTCACTGTAGGAGGAGGTGAGGACGAACCCTCTGGATCCGTCCCTCCTCCTCCTGCTTCCTCATGGCCGGAGCCACTGTCCAGACAGTAGCCTCAGAAGCCAGAGAGGGAATCTGTGGCCTATAACCTGTCCCTCCAAAGTCTCGCCAGGGTTGGGTTTGGGAGCAGCAGTGTGGCGGGTGGGTAACACTAGCAAGCACTCTTCTTTTGAGAAAAGGTAGCCACCTTCCCCCCAGGCCACCCTTCGCCAGCACCACCCAGCTGACCTCCAAGATCACCCAGCTCCTAGACTGCAAAAACCAGCCTCAACTAACTGCTGCTAATTCTCCAGATTCTTCCGTGATTGTTGCCTCTCTTCTGGCGGGACAGCAGCGTGAAGAAAAGTAGAGCCAAACTAGCTGGATCCGAGCCAGCTGGCTGAGGGGGCTCAGGTAAGGTTCAAGGGAAAACCCAGAAAACAACCAGGCTGCTACCAGGACCAGAGCAGTCCCCACAAATGTGACAACAAGGAGGGACTGGCCACTGACGGCGTCATGTGTTGCTGTAATCTTTCTGAAATGCTCTTAGTCTGTGACAGTTTGTCCTAGGCTCTGATGTTTTCCCGGAGCGTCATAATCTAAGGCTATTGGCTTTAACACAGACAGAGGGAATGAGATCGAAGACACACTAAGGGAACGCGGGAGGGCAATCCGTTCAGGCAGGCTTCAGGGTATGTCTCTAGACCCGATGCACGTAGACCATGATGGCAGGTACTGAGGATCCACAGTGAGTCAGTCCCTTCTGGTCCCTGCAAGGGCAGGTGTAGAGAGAGACAACCAACTCATTATTGGATGTAGAAGGTGCCATAGAACTGTGGAGGAGGAGTCCTTGACCTACCATAGTGATGGGATGGGGAACTTGGGGAGATAAAAAGTGAGGTCCCAGCAGAGAGGTAGAGGAAGATAGAGGAAGAGCATTCCCAACAGAGGGAGGTCGTGTGTGTGTGTGTGTGTGTGTGTGTGTGTTGAACAGGAAGATGAGAAGACAGTGGCATGAAGAAAAGAGATGCATCGGCTAACTAAGAGGGAGAGTATATTTAGGGATGGCTTTAACAGCTTAAAAATACAGAATATTGTCAGAGTACTGTTTCTAATAGCAACAACATAAACAGAAAACTCAGCCTCCAAACAACATGAATATCCATCTATAGGCAAATGGTTGAATACGGAGCATCTGTGTATATTAAGGGATAGTTTATAATCCTTAAAAAGGAAGGAAATACCAGTACTTAGAAGGCTGAGGCAGGAGGATGACCACGAGTTCCAGGCCAGCCTGAGCTTTAGAGGGAGACCGTATCTCAAAGGTCAAAATGAAACAGAAAAAAGAAAGCTGGCAAGTTATATGTGCCCCTACCTATATAAAGAAATTTGAACACTTTACTGAATACCAAGGAAAGGTCTTTTTTTTTTATTTTTTATTTTTTTTTTATTTAAGACAGTAACTTGTGTAGCCCAAGCTGATCTCAAACTCTCAGCCCTCTGACTCAGCCTCTCTGTTGGGTAAGTATGTGGCACCGTTTCTTGCCCACGGGGCCTTCTCACTAATTTCACTTCTGTACTGATTAAATCTTTACTCGAGCAAATGTTATTTGGTCAATTTTTTAAGAGCAAGGGGAAAGTAACTGGAAACAAAGTAAGCGTGTGTGTGTGTGTGTGTGTGTGTGTGTGTGTGTGTGTGGCTCGTGCCTATAATCTAGCACAAGTCAGAGGCAAGAGCTGCGTGTTCAAGTCTAACGGGCATATATGTCTAGTTCTAGTCCAGCCAGGGCTTCATAGTGAGAGCCCCGTCTCCAGCAAAAACCAAACAAGACGTCTCTGCTGTTGCTTTTCCGTCTGTCTCCCTCACTTGGGGTGAAGGTACAGGGTTATCGCTGTCTGTAATCTTGCCTTTGAAGTACCTCAGCCTCCTGGAAGAGCAGAAAGTCCCAGGACAGATGCCTCCCAGATGAGGGCAATTGTGCAAGGCAGGGAGACTGCACCCTGGGTGGAGATAAGCACTTCCTGGGCAGCCCGGTCCCCACTGTGTGACCTGCCGCTGTCCCTCCTTACAAAGCAGCATTTGCTTCTATTCTGAGAGCCAGTGGAAACCCAGAAAGACTCCGTCTCCTCTGTGAACATGAATACCTCTGCAGTCATCCTGGCAGGAGAAACATCTGATGAAGAGAAACACTTGTACCCTTCCCTCTCTCTGTCAAACTCTTGAAATAATGGCCCCCAAGGAACTGGAATTTCCGCAGAAATCTCATACTAGGAGAAAAGAAAAGCTGAAGCCTGAGCAGCCAGAGAAGCAGCTCCCTGGAGGATTATTTCACACAAACCTGACGATTAGATCATTTTGTAGAACAGAGACAATGCCGCAGCCGGGTCAGTGACGGCTGAGATGCAGCCATGAGCAGGATGGCTTGCTCGCGTACACTTCTTAACCCGTGAACATAAACCTCAGAACAGATGCCTAGAGATAGACTCGGGGGTGAGGTCATTAGAACTCCTCGTGGCTGCTTTAAATAAACCTCTCCCTGCTTTTCATTCTTTCTTGTCCCTTGATGCCGTGGGGATGGATGTGTGGTCAAGACCAGCTTAGCTTGCTGGGTCTGCCAGAACCCAGGCTCAGACCTAAAAGCTGTAGGGACACACCCACTCTTCCCACACCAACAGGACGAAACAAGCAGAAATAAGAAGCAGAAACAAAACAAACAAAGCAAACCTGTGGTTGCCGATGTTCAGTTATTAAACCAAAGCAGGAATACTTGGCAAATTACAGCCAATAAAGTAGCATGTGAATGTATGGTTATTCAATAAATTCTGACATTTGGGGAAGACACAAATGTGTCTGTTTCTGTCATAGTTCTAGTCACCCTCATGTCCAAATTTGCCTAAATTCGAGCTTTGCCATGGGATGTGCTTTAGAGGGCCCACAGCTGGTCGCATAGGGGTAGGGGCACCCGTCATTATTTTCACTAGCCACGGTGTGGCATTTAGCAGCTTTTTTCTTCTCAATACTGAATTTGCACCTATGCCCTCACGAATGGGAGGCAAGTGTTGTATTGCTGAGTTTGGTCCTCAGCCCTCTTCCAGTTTATTTTGAGATAAGTTCTCACTGTGTTGACCTGGGGGCCTTGAGTCTCCTGCCTGGGATTCCTGGCCCATCATCAAGCCTGGCTCAGCTAATTCCTGTTTCGGATGTGGCACAAAGAACAGGGTATTATCAGTGACTATGACTTACTCACCGGCAGAGTCATGCAAAGTTAGCCTAATATTGCAGTTGTCTCGGAGACCTTAAAATATCTGCTTCTGCCATTATTGTAGAATTATACAGCACAATTAATAAATGGGACCTCATGAAATCAAGAAACTTCTGTAAGGCAAAGACCACTATTATTAGGACAAAGCTTCAGCCTACAGCATGGGGAAGGATTTTTTACCAACAACATATCTGACAGAGGAATAATATCTAAAATATATAAAGAACTCAAAAACCTAGGTATCAAGAAAGCAAATAACTCAATTAAAAAATGGGGCACAGATATAAGCAGAGAATTATCAATACATGAAACTCAAATGGCTAAGAAACACCTAAAGAAATGTTCAACATCCTTAGTCAACAGGGAAATGCAAAGCTACCTTTAGATTTCACCTTACACCTTTCAGAATGGACAAGATAAACAGAACAAGTGACAGCTCGGACTGTGTTGTAATATGTGTGGTGAGCTGCGTCCTGCCATCCGGCCGCCCACATTGCTAGCTTATGCCCCGAAATAATTACACAGAAACTGTATTCTTTTAAACACTGCTTGGCCCATTAGTTTTAACTTCTTATTGGCTAGCTCTTACATATTAATCTAACCCATTTCTAATATTCTGTGTATAGCCCACAAGGTGGCTTACCAGGGAAGATCTTAACCTGCATCTGTGTTGGGTGGGAGAATCATGGCAACTGCTTGACTCGGCTTCTTTCTCCCAGCATTCTGTCTGTCTACTCCGCCTACCTAATTTTCTGTCCTATCAGGCCAAGCAGTTTTCTTTATTAGTTAACCAATGAAAGCAGCAGATAAGATACAAGACCCACCTCCATCAGGACTGACAAGTCTGTGGAGCAAGGGGAGCACTCACCCATTGCTGGCGGGAATGCAAACATACTATGGAAACCAGCGTGGCAGTTTCTAAGGAAGATGGTACTCTTTCTACCTCAAAATCCAGCTATACCATTCTTGGGCATATACCCAAAGTTTGTTCATCCTACCACAAAGACACTTGCTCACCCACGCTCACCCAAGCTCACTGCTGTTCTGTTCCTAATAGCCAGAAACTGGAAACAGACTAGCTGTCCCACAACAGACCAATGAGTAAAGAAAATGCGCCACATTTATGTAATAGAGTATTACTTGGCCAGTAAAGATAATGAACTCAAGAAATTCGCAGATAAATGGATGGAACTAGAAAAAAGCATCCTGAGTAAGATAACACGGATCCCAAAGACAAATATGGTATGTATTCGCTTCTATGTGGGCATTGGCTGTGAAGATCAATTCCTGGTGTAGCGTCCAGAAAGTTGATGAGGTGGAAGGCAGCTTTTTGCTGTGCGGGTGGCTTTGCCATACCCAATGGCACCCTTTGAGGTGGAAGGTCTTCTGTAACCATACATCTTCTTGGAAGAGCTATAGGATGCTGCAGGAGCTGGCATGTCTCTCGTTAGGAGCTCCTTTTGTTGAATGCCAAACTCTCAGATCTGCAAAGGCACTTGAGGATTGAGTACCATCACCAGTTACTTATATTAAACTAGATATATAAGTTAACTTTACACATGTATTTTACCCAGTTAGTTACAGCTTACCAATGGTAGCAAATGTAAGAAGGTTAAAAGGAATATTTGAGTAAGTCAAAGAATGCTAGCCCACGTGGGTCCTCTTACCCAAGATGGCGATGAGGTCAAAATGGGGCTTACCCACGTGTTCGTATTTTCCCAGAGCTGTTGTAATCTAGAGTGATAAGTTTTACAGATCTTAAAACATGCTCCCATACCCACAGAGACATGGCAAGCATACTGTGGAAACAAACACACATACACACATAGACATAAAACAAGCACACCGTGGCCACATTATTTTAACAGACAAACAAAATTATTTTGGAACCTGTGTCAGTTGGCCAACTTAAAAGTCCTAATGTAGATAGGCAGCAGAAGTCAGGGAGGCACACCGGTGGTCCCATTAAGGACCAGATTAGCAGGCGCTGTAAGAGGGAACAGAAACAAAGAACGGGAGAACTATACAGTTTTAGAGCGGAAGGACAGGGGCAAAATGGGTCCATCGTAGAGAACAAACAGGGAGAAATGAACAGTAAACAGCTAAAGAAGCAGGGAGGGGAGCTGGGAAGTGGGAGCACGAGCAACCATGGGCTTTGGGGCCTTGTTTGTTTTATGTTAGGTGTTAGACAGCCCCAATTTAAAAGGATTTCTGTAAAAGGCAGCCCAAGGGCGTTTGGAAAACTGGCTTTGAATGGGCAGATTTTAAAATGGGCAAGGCCCATTTTATAAGTCTATGCCAAATCTTGGGACTCAATGCCTATCATATTGTGTCCATCATGTCTCGAGTCAAAAACAGAGGTGCCTGAGAAATGCACGGGCAGACGTCTCTACCCACACAATTCCACCTCAGCGAAGACTGCCTTGCTGCTTGTGGGGTCCAGTGCCTGGCACAGATGGATGGTGACTTCCACAGACACCCCGACAAACAACAAACATAAAAGGGTCCTGGACCCTAGCGGCTTGTACTTGAAAAAGGGGAACTCACCCAGATGAAGCCGATCTTAGCCTGGTGGAGAACATGGGCAAGAAAGGCATTTTCCAACACGTAGCCCTGGGCCAGTGGGAAAAACAGCCTCCTCCCCCGTGGGACCTCCAAATGTTAAGTATTTTTTTCTTGGCCAACAAACATCTCCGCCTACGCAATAATCCAAATCAAACCAGATCAGACCAAATTAGAAAAGAGCCCAGGTTTAATGAATGGAAGCACTCCCTGGTGTCTCCCCTGGAAAAACATGGAGGGTGGGAAAGGAAAACCAAAAAGACCACAAAAAACTGGAAGACCATGTGTTCATTCTCTGGGGACAGTTTAAATAGCCTATGGGTGCAGTCTTGACCCTCCCTGAGGAGGGGTCACCTTTTGGCGGTCTTCTTGATCCTCCCTGGGGAGGGTTCGCCATTTGAGGGCTTTCTCGGAGGTGGAGTTTGAACTGAGGCAACTCCTGGCGGGGGACGGCTTTTAAATGGAATTTTCCACCCAACATTTTAAGATGGATGCCAGGGTGGTAGGGTGAAGTCCCCCAATTAAGCAGGAAGGAATACAGGGAAAGACCGCTAAAATTAAGGCCCATTTTAGGGCTATTATGGAAACCCAATACAAGAGAAGTTTCCTAATATATATATATATATATATATATATATATATATATATATATATATATGAAAGCAATCTAAATAAAATTGCCAAATAAATGGGGGAAACAGCCCCAACCAGACAGTTCTTGACACCAAATGAAGCTTCTGATACTAGTATTGGATGACTTCTAGTTGAGTTGTTAACTAAAGGGGTCCATGGCAACCTCAAATCAACACAGGCTGTTGCCAAGACTATAGGTTGCTCTCCACAAAATGACAGCAAGGTCCCATTGCTCAACACAACACCTTACACAACTCATTACACATGGAGGAGTTATAGCGCCTTCACCCCTTTGCTGTAGCATCTTAGGTACAGGAAGGTACTCTGCATGTTACCAAGGGAGAAACTAACCTAGTTACAAACCTTTTGATCGACAACGGTGTCCTGCCTACAAGATACGCTAGGGCAATGGTGGCACAAAGTTTGCGGGAGTAACCAACCACTATCTGATTTAACTGAAGGCCCACTCCGTGAGATGGAACCCTTACCTGATACTGCTTAGGTGACCAAGAACATGACACTAGATAGCCCAGGGACCTGGGCTAAAACCAAATAATAAACGTAGCAATAAAGTGACTCCTAATGATATTTTGCTATACTCACAGGTCACTGCCTGCTCCTCCATCATCAGGGACACTTCCTCCTGAAGCAGATGGGAACGGAAAAAGAGACACCTACAGCAAGGTGTGCAGAGAGCAAGACACCTTGGAACACTCAGCCCTAAGTAAAATGTCTCCATCAGATCCCTCCCCTCAGGACTCAAGGAACCCGGTAGAGGAGTAGCCAAAAAGATAATCTAAGAGTCAGAGGACACCAAAGGAGCAAGGCCCTCGAAATCAACAGGATAGATGCATACTCGAACTCACGGAGACCGTGGCTGCATGCACAGGACCTGCACAGCTCTGCAACAGATGGGGTCTTAGAGTCAAAAGGAAACGGGGAAGCATGCTCCCGTCCTTAACCCAGAAGCCATCTCCAATTGAGAACCACTTGCAAAGGAAAACTTAGTTTCCTCCAAGGGAGTCTCGCTGGATTATGTATACTGTTCTTGCCTGTATGTATGCTTGCAGGCCAGAAAAGGGCACCAGATCTCATTACAGATGGTTGTGAGCCACCATGTGGTGGCCGGGAATTGAACTCAGGACCTTGGGAAGAGTGTACAGTGCACCTAACCTTTGAGCTATCTCTCCAGCCCTATCTTATTTAATTTAATTTTATTATTATCCCATAGAAACCCTTTGTTTTCTTTGTTTCTTTCTTTTTTCTTTATTCCTTCCTTCCTCCCTCCCTCCCTCCCTCCTTCCTTCCTTTCTTTCTTTTTTTTTTTTTTTTTTTTTTGGTTTTCCAAGACAGGGTTTCTCTGTGTTACAGCCAGGTTGTCCTTGAACACAGTTTGTAAACTCACGAACACCCGCCTATCTCTGCCTCCTGAGCGCTCGGATGAAAAGCTACCACCACCTGGATGCTCATTTGTTTTCTAATGATAGGCAGAAAAGGAGTGGATCAGAATGGGAGGGGAGGTGAAGAGTGTTAGCTCTCAAACCTAGGACAGACTAACTGAAGTGCCTATTAACACAGCAAACCTGATGCTGGCCACAAGGTTCTTCCAGCACCCCTTAGTCCCGACCTGTTACAGGGTCTCCCTGCCTGCTGGCATACCCCACCCCTACCCTGAACTCTCCAGCCTTGGTTCTCTCTCTCTCTCTCTCTCTCTCTCTCTCTCTCTCTCTCTAAGACAAAGTTTCTCTGTAGTTTTGGATCCTTTCCTAGAACTCGCTCTTATAGACCAGGCTGGCCTTGAACTCACAGAGATCCACCTGCCTCTGCCTCCGAGTGCTGGAATGAAAGGCGTGCATCACCATCTCCTGGCAGCAGCTCCTGTCTTGCTCTGCCTCCCCTCTCTCCTCACACAGACTGCCTCCGTCTGGCCATGTCTACTCTGAACTCATCTAGATGCCCTTAGCTGTAGTCTCCCCAATCTACGATAAACCTCTTCCACCGTACCCAGGAGCAGTCAGTCATGTTCTTCTTTTGTTTTTTTGCTTGGTTTTTTAAATTTTTTTTTTCATGCTGGGTGGAGTAGAGGAAGGGAAAACTCTAATCAGGGTATTTTGTTAGGAAAAAGAATCTTATGTGCAATAAAAGAAAAATAAATAAATAGAACACATTCATATACAATTTAAAAAAAAATAGTTGCCAGGTGGTGATGGTGCATGCCTTTATACCAGCACTCAAGAGGCAGAGGCAGGTGAATCTCTGTGAGCTCAAGGCTGGCCTGGTCTATAAGAGCTGGTTCTAGGGCTAGAGAAATGGCTCAGTGGTTAAGAGCTTTGCCTGCTCTTCCAAAGGTCCTGAGTTCAATTCCCAGCAACCACATGGTGGCTCACAACCATCTGTAATGAGGTCTGGTGCCCTCTTCTGGCCTGCAGACATACAGACAGAATATTGTATACATAATAAATACATATATATATATATGTATTTATTAATAAGTAATAAATACATATATATATATATATATATATATATATATATACATGTATATATATGGTTCTAGGACAGGCTCAAAAAGCCACAGAGAAACCCTGTCTCAAAAAGCAAAACAAACAAACAAAAAAAAGAAATAGTCATTATCACATATATATTTCAGTAAATATACACTAATATACTCAGATTATAATCTGATGTATTCTTTTACTGTCTTATTTAGAGACCAGGTACATAAACTTCACCAGACTGTCACAGGGACCCATGCCTGACTGAGTACATTTAGATCTAAACTCGGGGTAGTGGTGCATGCATTAATCCCAGGGATCAGAGAGATTGCTGTAAGTTTGAGGTCAGCCTGGTCTACAATAGTGAGTTCTAGGCCAGTCATGCTTACACAGAGAGATGAAAGGAAAGAAGGGAGAGAGAGGGAGGGAGGGAGAGAGGGAAGGAGGGAAGGAGGAAGGGAGGAAGGAAGGAAGGAAGGAAGGAAGGAAGGAAGGAAGGCAAGTAAATCTGTAATCCTAGCTTGGGAAGGCTGAAGCAGTACAATTCCAAATTTGAGGCCATCTTGGGCTACTGAATAAGAACTCTGCCTGACAACAAACAAAAGATAAAAATGGGGTAAAGTGGGGTTTGCAAGAGTTCCTTGGGGCCTGTGGGTCACTGTCTCTTTACTTCCACATTCCTGAGCTCGGCCTCCAGCTCACTGAACAGTCCTAACCAAATAGGCTGAGGAACACACCACATCTGTGTAAACACCATCCCGCCCCCGTGTCAGGTTGCCCATCTGCACAGTTGCTTGAAGTTAATGGCATCAGAAAGGTCAGATACCCCGGTGTAGCCGAAGGAAGACAAGTGGGCGTCTTTGGAACGACAATCTGGCCTTTTCGACTTCGCTCTCTGGTTTTCTTTTTCAGTGAAGAGCAGCCAGCAAATGTTGTGAAAATAAAAGAGTAAGTTAGCGCCCTCTTAGCTGCTAGTTTCATGGTGGGTGTTAGGGTGTCATGTAACACCCTAGATAAGGCTCTAGGAAAGGTGAGGGCCTAGACAGAGTTTTCCCCTACATCTGATCCATTCACCAAGGGCTGGCAGGGGTGGGCTTCTGAGCTGTCTCCAGTCACAAGGAGGGAAAAGACACAGTGACTGCCTGCTGCTCCGTGCTAGCCAAGAGGGGACACGTCTATGAGCGTGCCCTATAATTATCCAGAGTCCAGCCCCAACTGGTGCCGACAGCTACCTTTGGTGGACCCAGATAAAAATATATTCCTGAACATTCCTTCCTCATGCCATGTGTTCAGAATAAGAAAAGGAATCTCAGTTCCTCTCATTAGGCTAATAAAGAAAAAAAATTAAATTAAGTGTTTTAAAAGCTGATAACAAAGAACACCAAGTGTTCTGTAGACTATCTGGAATGCCGAAAATACTACAGCACAGCTCGCAAAAATGAATTTATTCAAAATAACTAATTTACCCAAAGAACACAGGAGCCACAATGCTTGCTGGTTTGACCTCACGACTTCTGCTCAGAACCCCTTCTCGAGGTAGGGCCTACTGACGTAGCTCCTTTGAAGATGAAGAGGAGGGTGTGCTGGGGTGGGGGTGAGGGGATAAGCACACCCCGAGGGTGCTTACTGATCCTCAGGAGCCAGGGAAGACTAGCTTTGCATCTGTCCTGGTTTGCAGATCAGGTGGCTGAGAGTGTTATCAGTGCTTTGTTCTTTTGAGTACAATGTGCTGCTGGCCTGCATTCTGTGTGCCTATGTCCTAAGGAGAGTGTGCTTTATCAAAAGAACAAGAAAATAAGCCATTATTCATTGAAAACTAAAAGCCAGCCCCTTTACCTGTTCACGGCTTGCCAGGGCCTGGGAGAGAGGGGGCAGCTCGGCTTTCTTATCTTCTACGTGTTTCTGAAGAAATGAAAGAACCTACTTGGCCTCTTGCCCTTGGTCCTTCAGTCTGAACAATTTCACCTCATGTGCTCCTCAGCCAAAATTCTGTACTTGTTTGTGTGTTTTTAGATGTGGTCCAGGATGGCCCTATTCATGATCCTCCAACCTTAGCCAACCTTCTAAGCACACCTCACCAGACATCCTAGTTAGAATGTTCCTTTTCTTCTTGTCTTTTGAGAAACTATGAAGTAAGTGTCTTCTTACGTATTAAATATTGACTGATGGGGAAGGGTGGTTATTTGGGACAAGTTAAAACATACAAGGAAAGATGTGGGATAGGTTTGGGAGACTGCCTACAACTGAACAGTTCAGTTACACAAGCTCACACCTCCCAGTGGTCTTGCCACTCCAGTACCAGGAACCCTGGTCCACCTTTTCACTGGAGAGTAGTTCCACTCTCTGACCTCTTGCCAGCACTGTAGTCCTGGGCTCTGGCTCCAGAAGCAGAATTTAATCACTGTGTGTGATGCTGGCACAACACACCTGACAAAGGCTGCTTAAAAGAGGAAATTTTGAATGACTCAGAGTTCAGGATGCAGCCCGCATGAGAGGGCATGGTTAGGGTGTTTATAATCTATGCCATAAGAGCTCATTTGCACTCCATTCTGCGGGAAGGGGTCTATGTCTGCATACTGTTGACGGTTTGTTTGAGCTGAGTTAACTACCTCCAGGCTAGATCTGTTCAAAAAAATTGCAAACCCTGCACCAGCTCTGGAGAGGAGCCAATGAGGAGAAAAACATCAATTCCATAAATTTCAGTGACAAGCCGACCACCTGACCAGTTTCAGTGGGTTAATGTGCCTAGGTCTTCCCATTTCTCCTAGATTTCCAGTTCATTGTTGTACAGTTTTTCATAGTGACCCCGAGCAATTCCTTGTGTTTCTGGGATATGTGTTATAATATCGTTCTCATTTACCTACAGTGTCTCCGATATTTGTTTGTTTATTTATTTATTTATTCTTGTCTAAACCAGCTAGATACTTGTTGATTTTGTTTATATTTCCAAAAACCCAGTTCTTCATTTTGTTCATCTGTTTTGTGGGCTTATTTTCAGGCCCCATTTCATTTCTTTCTTCTCTAATATTTGTTATTTCTTTCCTTGTAACTCCTCTTGGATTTGGCAAGCTCTCCTTTTCTAATGTCTTGAGTTGCATCAGTGGATTGTTAATTCGGAATATTTTTTTTATGTAGGTGCTTTTCCCTTTTAACTTCCCTCTGGGTACTGATGTCTGGAGCTCATGAGTTGGGCTCTGTGTGTGCTATAGCTTTGACATTTTGTGCTTCCATTCCAGATTTAGTTGTTTAAAGAAAAGTTTGAATTTTTTTTTTAATTTTTTCATTGACCTATTGATGTTCCATTCCAGAGTGTATTGTTTACTCAATTTCTCAAGTTCTTCTAGTTTATTTCTCTTGTTATTTCACTGTGGTCAGAGAAGACAATAATATGATTCATTA